TCTGGCTGTCCCAGTGAGGACAGCAGCAGCCACAGTGCTCTGCACCTCTGCACCTCTCCTGGGACAGGCCAGCGCTGGGTTTGCATCTCGCAGGCAGCAGCTCCCTTGGCAAAGGGAGGATGGACGGGGTCACACACAGACCGGGGCTTCTCTCACCTTCCAGGTCATCTCTGACTTCGACATGACTCTGAGCCGCTTTGGGTGCAATGGCAGACGCTGCCCCACTTCGCACAGTGAGTCGAAGCCCCTGTTTATACTGCTGCCAGTTCTGTTTGTTCTCTGTGTTTGTGTCCTCGGTCCCTGTGGCCCCTGGTACCCCCTGCTCTCACCCCACTGAGCTGTGCCCAACAACTGGCAGCTGCCGCAGCTTCGCCCCGTGGTGAGCCCGGGCTCAGCTCAGTGTCCCACACACAGCTCGTTTTTGGGAGGAGCTGGTGCTGGAGACCCGGGAGAGCTGCCCTCTAGAAAGTCTTCTGTTTCTGGGCTGCAACATGGGCATTTTGTTGTCTTTACAGATATCCTCGATAACAGCCGTGTTATCAGTGAGGATGGCAAGAGGAAGGTAGGTGCTGTTTTGTGAGGTACTGCTGCTTGGCTCTGGTTTTTGTCCCTGTCACCCCTCATAAGAAGGTGGTACTGGCCTGTGTGACAGCTCTCCAAGCTGTGCCTTGCTGCCAGGGCAGAGAGCAGGCCAAGTGTCCAGGCTGCATTTCAGCAGATGCTGATGGAAGGAGAAGTCAAAAAGGGAAATACAATTTGCATGCTGGGCTGTGAGCATGTTCTGTCTGATAAGAGGAGGAAGGGGTGTGTGTGTTTGTCTTTGTGCATCCGTATGTGCAGTGAGAGCACAGTTGGAGCCAGCTGGGCTGCGGAGGGTTAACGAGTCCTTCCAAGATCTCCAGATTTGCCCAGTGTGAAGCTGTTCAGTTACATGGTTCTGGCTGTTTTTCATGGCAGATGCTTTGGAAGAATTTAGAAATGCTTTTTTTGTTGCTTATAGTCTCTTTAGACGTGGTCTTCACTCTGTTGTTTTTCCATCTGTACGACACTCCAGCTGCAAGACCTGCTGCACTATTACTATCCCATTGAGATTGATCCCAACCGGACCCTGGAAGAGAAGTGTCCCCTTATGGTGGAGTGGTGAGTGCTTGTGTGTGATGACCTTGACCTTGTCCAGGCAGCTTCTTGTCCTCGAGGGCTACAAGATACAGGGCTTGAACTGTCTCTAGGCTTGGCATCAATACCATGAAGTTTTAGTTCTTATTTTTCTGACTGCCAGAAGGTTGCAGCCCGGGACGCTCACTGTGATGTCCTTCCTTAGGTGGAGCAGGGCCCACGAGCTGCTCTCGCAGCAGAAGATCCAGAAGGGTGACATAGCCCAGATCGTCAGGGAGTCGGATGTGATGCTGAGGTATGGGCAGGGGGTTCAGCTGCCTCTGTGCAGGCAGCTCCCCTGCAGATGCAAATCTCCCTCCCTGGGGCTGAGCTCTAACCATAAAGAGCTGAGAGCCAGTGCCACGTGCTGCAGCCTGGGCTGCTCCGTTCAGGGATGACTCCTTCCTGCTCAGACACCCCTTCCACCTCCCAGGTCTTGGCGAGGAGAGGCTGGGTGCTGGGCAGAGCTCCCTGTTTGCAGGGCAGGGCAGCCTGCAGCTCATCTCCTCCACAAGAGGTTTTCTCTCCACACACTGTAACTGCTGGACTTTATCCAGCAGTTTGGCTCCGCATTGAATTTCACCCACAGCACAAAAAAGTTGTGCAAAAACTTGCTGTGAAAGTGGGACTTGACAGTGATCTTCCTAAAACCAGCTCGGGGAGCCTTGGTTTGAAGGACCTGCCATCTCAGGGTGGAGATGGTTCTGTCTGTCTGGGTTTTCATGACCCCGAGTTTCCCTCCTGCATGGAAATCATGTCCTGGCAGGCTGAGACTGTTACAGGTCGGTCTGATTGTCCTCAAACCAGGCTGAGCTGAGTGGGCTGGCAGCCCCTGGGCAGGCTGTGCCCCCTGGATGTTCAGGATCTGCTGGACTCATTGCTCGTGTGCTGCTTCCTGCTGGGTCACTGCTGCCAGGAGGGCCTGGGGGTCTGCAGCACAGCCCTTGCACACACAGTGCACACCACAGAATTGCTGGTGCCACAAAAAACTCACGCTTTTTGCAGAGCTCATGTGCGTGTTTGTGTTTGGGAAAGCCTGGGCAGAAATATGAGCAGCCAGCCCACAGCCCAGTGGGCACCTGCTGCCAGCTGGGCATGGGATACGTGGTAACGGACACGCCTGTTCTAGGGATGGATTCAAGGAGTTGTTTGATCAGCTGCATAAGAACAACGTCCCACTGTTCATCTTCTCTGCTGGTGTTGGTGACATCCTTGAGGAGATTATCCGTCAGGCCAACGTCTTCTACTCAAATGTCAACGTGGTGTCCAACTACATGGACTTTGATGATAACGTGAGTTTCTGCATCACGTTTGTGCAGTGGGGATGAGGAGAGGAGGGTTGTTAGACTGGAACTGGGGGCTGCTCTAGGTTAAACAGGTTTTAAGCTGCTTGTTAACATTTCTAAGTACTTGATCCCCATAGATGGAACTGATCTTTGCTGGGTCACAAAAGGCTGGTCGTGGCCTCCACCCCATTTGCTCCTCCCTCAGGGGCTGTGACCTGCCACCACAATAGCAGCTCTCTGAGCTGGAAGGTGTTAGAGGTTCCCCTGCCCTGGATTCCCAGGATCTCCTGTTCATCCAGGAGCTGGATCAGCAGTGAGAGGGAGCAGAGGGTGGGCTGCTGGGTGCAGGAACAGCTGAGCATCTGCTCGTGATCTTGGGAACTTCTCACCTTTGATTTTGGTGGCAGGAAGGGCCCTGCCACGTGTGTCCAGCACTGTGTGCTCTGTCCTGGTGCAGGGGAAGGATGGAGTTAAACACAGAGATCTTTCCTGATCCAAAGGCCAGATGTCCTTTAATGCAACTTGGAAGGCTTTTGTTGATGTACTAAGGCCTGAAGAGTCCCAGTGCACATTAGACAATTGCATGTCTCTTACAATGAAGCCCTCTGTTCCCACGGGTGCTGTGCTGGGACAGGCTGTCCTTGAGGGAGCATGGGACAGTGTGACACTCCTGCCCCCTGCAGGAGCCAGGCTCTGCCCTGGGGCTGCCCTGACTGTGGCTTTCAGTGGCCCCTGACCAGCTCCAGGACAGCACAGAGCCCTGACTATGGTCTCCAGGATCTCCATCCTTTGGGTTTGTTCTCACCATCGGGGGGTCCTGGGTTCTGTCTCCAGGTGTTCTATGGCTGCTGGTTTTCCAAACTCCGTGGGATTTCTGTGGGATCACTTTGATCTGTTTGTGCAGGGAATCCTCACACATTTCAAGGGACCTCTCATCCACACCTACAACAAGAACAACAGTGTCCTGCAAGGTACCAAGTATTTCCAGCAGCTGAGCACCAGGACAAGCATCATCTTGCTGGGGGACTCCATGGGTGACCTGACGATGGCAGATGGCGTTCCCAGCGTGGAGAACATCCTCAAGATAGGCTTCCTCAATGACAAGGTGGGTGTGAGCAGCAGTTGTCTTGCTTCCCTGCCAGCCTCCCCCCAGTGTGAAGCCCGGGGGGCAGCAGAGGGGGGCAAGCAGCTGCACAGGTGCTTCAGGGCAGGCAAGAGATTCGTATGAGCTCCCATGGGGTGTGTGGAGGGAGCTGGGGGGTGTCTGAGCTCCCAGTGCCACGGGGGCACTGCCAGGGTGGTTGTTGACCCCTCTGGCAGCATCTTCATTCTCGGGTGCTGGTGTTCACAGTCCCTCCTCTCTCTGGGGCCCTCTCCTCTCCACACTGCAGGTGGAAGAGAGGAGGGAGAAGTACCTGGATGCCTATGACATTGTCCTGGAGAGCGACGAGACGCTGGATGTGGTCAACGGGATCCTCCGGTACCTCCTTACGGAGACATGAGCTGGGCAGGCAGCACCCCAACCCCAGCCCCCCAGCAGGGCACCAGGGCACTGAGTGTCCTTTCCTTGACAAAGATGGAGTGGTGGATCTGCTGGTACCTCCTGGACTCCATCCTGACACTGGGCGGGCTCCCTGCCCCGGATCTGGGTGTTGTCTACATCCTGATCTCCTTGACCTGCTTCAGACAGTCCTGGAGTGGGAGGGGTGAGATGGAGGAAGCTTCTGCACTCCCTTTACCCCACCTGTGCCCAGCTCTGCTGCTTTCCACTTGGACTTCATCCCACTTGGACATCATCCAACCAGTGGCCAAGGCCACAACAAACCATTTTGTGATTCAGGTACAGATGTTCTGCGCTTGCTTCAGCAGCTGGGTTCAGAAATGGAGGTGATTTGCTGGGGCTTGGGGACAGACCTGGCTTAGGTGGAAACTGTTTAGTTTTACTGTGTTCCAGTTTAAGAAAATAAGTCTCTCTCTAGTCCTGTTTCCTGTGGGCTTCTAAGTGCTGGGGCTGAGCTCTGGTGGTGCCACCCGTGGCCTTGCCAGCCGTAGTGTCACCCAGCGCTGTGTCCCCCCCAGCCCCTGCCACCTCAGCTCCAGGCCCTCCCCGTCCCTTCCAGAACCCACCAGCTGTCACCAGGTGCTAGAGCTGAAGCTGGAGCACAACCTGTCTGTGCTGGAGGGTCCCAGGAGTTTGGTTTCCCTCCTACCCAACCCAGCAGGTGCTGGAGCACAAAACCTGCCCTGGGCTGGGCTCTGTGCCCCCGTGGGCAGGTGAGGTTGGTCCTGTGGTGCTGCCCAGACACTGCAGGTGTTTCATGGCACAACAGCAAACTCCTTGGAAACCAGTAGAAATTTATTCGGTGCAAAGTAGGAGTGGTTGGAGGAGTTCACCATCACCCTTTGCACTCTTCTGCTCTGGCATTTCTTGGATCTCTGTCAGCAAGACACTGTGCAAAAGCTTTTAGAGCTGGTGGGAGGTGATCATGCTGGTCACACCTGGCAAACCTGAGAGTGCCCAGTGAAGTAGCTGCATTTGGGCATCACAATAAAATGGGGCTGATTTTTTTCTCAGTCACTTAAGGCTGTTGCTGCAGGGCAGGGAGGATGGGGATGATGCTGCTCCCTTAAGGCCTGGGTGGGGGAGGCTTTCTGTTCCCCCTCTCCCAGCTGCTGAGGGGTTTGCCAGGTCCTGTGGTCTTGGGGGGGCCCAGGATTTCTGGAATGGTAAGTACATGGGGCACTGGGGCTTCACCCTGGGAACCTGAGCCCCCTCCAGCCTCTTGTCCCAGGGAGAGTGGCAGCAGGGAGCAGAGGCTGGGCCAGGAGCAGGGACCAGCACAAAAGGCTTCTCTATTTTTCCTCTCTAAAGAATTTAACGTGTATATAAAAAATAACAACCCAACCCTAGACTACAAAATGCTGTGGTAGAAGTGGAGGGGAAGCCCAGGAGGCAGCAGGGGAGGTGGGATGTGCAGTCACTGGCTGAGGACAGAGGGACTTGTGGAGGGGACACTGTGGAAGTGTGGGTGCTGCTGTCCCTATGGGGCGTCTGGATGCCCAAACCGAGGGTGTTTCCCACCTCCTTGCCTGGGTTTATTAGCTGGGGGTTGGTGAGTTCTGCCCAGGAAGATCACATCAGGAATCCTCAGTTAAATAATATGGGAGAAAAAAAATCAAAATACACCCCTGCAGAGCTGGGGAGGGGCAGGGGCAGATTCCTGGGGCAGCTGGTGGGAGACACTGCCCATGATATGGCCAAGATGAGTCCTCTTCTCTAGGGGAGAGAGGGTCCACTCCTCAGAGCTCCTCGTGGACCTTCTCCTGGTCCTCATCCGACTTCAGCTTCAGCTCCTCAGAGGTGATCTTCCCATCCTGGTTACGGTCCTGATTCCTGAACATGTCAGCAATGACTTTCTCCGGGTCAGAGCTGGGCATGAGGCGACCTTTCCCTTCTGCTACCTGGGTCTTGATGAAGGTGGAGAACTGCAGTGGGGAGAGGGGAGAGCTGCTGCTTTGCTGCCAGCAGCACCAGGCAGGGCAGGGAGCTGGGGCCCTGGCTCACCTCGTCAGCTGGGATCTCCCCATCCTTGTTCAGGTCCATTTCCTCATAGAGGTTGGCTGGTGGGTCCCCGTGCCAGATGAAGAGGTAGCCCTCAGGAACCCCCTCCTCCATGGAGATCAGCTCCACCTCGAAGCGGAGCACGGCGCTGCCTGGCACCCCCCGGGCTGAAAACAAAGGTGCTGCACCATGGGGGAGCCCAGCAAAGCCCCCAGCTGGGGTGAGGGGCTGCAGGAGCCCAGCAGTGAGGCAGAGCCCCCAGGTCATATCGCACAGGCAGCCACAGCTGCTCCCCTACCTCCGCTCTCCCCGTGGCCCAGGTGGGGGGGAACGATGAGCACCCGCCTCTCCCCCGCACACATGTTGAGGAGGCCACTGTTCAGGCCCTCAATCACCTTGTTGGCCCCCAGAGTCACCTCCTGGGGCTTCTCATAGTCGTGGCTGCAAAAGGCACAGAGAAGACCATACGACTGGGACAGTCCCAGTTGATAGCTCCCAAATCCTGTGCCCTCCGTTCCCATGTGCCCCATAATCCCACACCCTCTGTCCTGCGGTGCCCTGAAGTCCCACACCCTCCATGCCACCACACCCCAAAACCCTGCAGCCTCCACCCTGCTGTGCTCCCCCATCCTGCACCCTCCAGTCCTGCCCATTGCAAAGGGCTGACGCTCCCAGGGCTGCTCCAGCGCCCCCGGCTCAGCGCCTGCCAGGATCTGGCCCCAGGAAGGCAAGATGAGCTCTGGGCAGCCCCCGAAACCAGCACGCACGAGGAGAAGAGCCTGGTGCCGTCCAGCAGGGAGCAGTTGTAGTGGTAGCGGACAAAGTCCCTGTGCCGGGTGGTGGTGTTGCAGCCCTCGGGCCGGTACACGGTCTGGATCTCCACCGGGTCCGCGGGGTTGTGGAAGTCGATGATGTGGACGTCAAAGATGAGCACGGCTGAGCCGGGAATTTTGTTCCCTGGAAGAGGCGGAGAAGGAGAGCTGCTGGGAGAGCTGCTGGGAGAGCTGCTGGGAGAGCTGCTGGGAGAGCTGCTGGGAGAGCTGCTGGGAGAGCTGCTGGGAGAGCTGCTGGGAGAGCTGCTGGGAGAGCTGCTGGGAGAGCTGCTGGGAGAGCTGCTAGGAGAGCTGCTGGGAGAGCTGCTGGGAACTGGGAGAGCTGCTGGGAGCTGCTGGGGGGTGGG